GGGGGGGGGGCTGTAATGTAATTACAGTTGCCACAGCTCAGGGTTTTTATATTCCGTCTTCAAAAAAAGCTTAGAGCGGGTGACAAGGGATTCACGCTGTGCAGTGTTTTGTGCTACAAGCGCTCGGGTTACAAACTGTAATCCGTCCTCAAATTGTCTCTGAAGAAATTCAAATTTCTGCACAGGAAACAATGTAGCCTACACATTTTTTTTTTTTTTTTTTTAATCTAATGAATTAAATCTTTTAATGACTCTTACATTGCTTGAACTTTTCTTATACAGTCTTGACTTCCAGGTGAAGAGATCATTCTCTCAGTAAACATCAAAAGGCTCTCGCAGAAGCGCTTCAGGATTACTCTGCTGCTTTTGTTTGTGATGAAAGATCATAATGCTCTCAAAGCTCACAGCCTTCCTTTTATTTATAGACTTCCTCTACCTTTATGTCTTAGTGGCATGTACGATGCTTTTCTTTTTATCTATAATAAACAATCGACACATGGACAGAAAAACGACCAGCCAAAGGCACGTTTTATACCCACTGAGGTGCAGGTATTAAAAGAAAAAGCAGGCTCCAGAGAGCCTATTTGTCTACAAGTCTGGAGTACAACTCAGGTGTTTCCCCTTCAACACAACGTATCGATTAGCTACGTTCAGGCTGCTACGCCGATTCCCGTTCGCGGTCAGAGAAGCCACGCTGGTGGGTTTTTAATGCTCAATGAAAATCAGGTTAACTTTCCACAGGGAGGATCAAACGCCGGCTTGGCCTCGCTCGCTCGCAAGTGGAGCCGCTGCTGGCGTGTAAAAAGACGTGTCAGGAGCCTGCTGTAAAGGGGCCGCTCACGAGCTGTGTTAACACTGAATGTGGCAGGCCAGACAAATTGCAGTATTTCATTACTTGAAGCACATGATAATAAAAAAAAGGGGAAAATAAACAGCAAGGTCAGGACAATAGGGCTGTGATAGTGCTGGAACACAGTGACCATGATGGGAGGAGGTGTGTGTGTGTGTGTGTGTGTGTGTGTGTGTGTGAAGGAAGGGACCCATAAATCATATAAGTAATTACACAGGAAGATTAATCCTGATGTCCCTCCTCAATCAGTCGTGTCTCATTACAGCGCATCACATTACAGACAGAGACAGACGGAGAGAGAACAGATAATCATCTTTTACTTTAAAAGAATTGGATATGAGGAGGAGGGGGGGGGGGGGGGGGTTGCCCATTAAGACTGGCTGACAATATGAGGCAGCAACACCAATTTTTGCAGGCGAGGGGAAAGATTTGCACCGCTGTATCCAAACGCGGATACATTTGGGACCGCAGCCTCATTTGTTTACGGCTAATTAAGCAATTAAGAGACCGGTGAACCCCTACGCCCAATTTAATTTTCCGACTAAGGGATATTGTCTCCTTTTTTTTGAATGTCAGAGGACGGCATTGGAAAGCTGTTGGAGCCGACCGTTATGGCCGCAGTAATGCAGCAATGATCAGCAATGATTAACATAATGTAATCACCAGCTTCAGGGGACAGAGATTTGTATCTGTTTTCACTTATGCAGAGGGGAAACTGCAATGAAGTGAATTATGCTAATGCTTCACTAACCTGCACACCTACACGGATATAAACAAACAGTCTAAACACTGTCACACACACACACACACACACGCACACACACCAAAATGCATGCATAGAATAATTGCATTTTAACTAGAAACTAGCCTATATACCCTCGCCTGGTTGTTTGGAATAGATTAGTGTGTGTGTGTGTGTGTGTGCTCTCTCTAATCAATGTAACAAACCCCTTGAATTTATTTACAGCTCAGACAGGGTGTCGCCATGGTAACAGACGGTGAAATCGGATCCTGCACCAAAGTCATGTGATAAAGTGGGAATAAATAAATGCATAAACAACAATGTGTGTATTAAATAAGGTACCCAAACACACAGGCACGTGCACACAGACACATACACACACACACACACACACACACACACACACACTGCCCCTCCTTATCTCCACTGAGCTCCTTCATAACATAACACTCTCCAGAAGAAAGGGAAGGTGGAGAGTATTGCACTTTTCATCAGCTTTTGGTGGGAGGGGGATGAGAGAATTTAATAAATCATATCCAGAAATATTTAAATGCCCTTTTTGCACACACACACACACACACACACACACACACACACACACACACACACACACACACACACACACACACACACGTCTAGACTGCACACGTCTGAAAACGACTCCTTGAGTGGCTCTATTTCTATTTAATGATGTTCAACAGTGGTGGAAAGTAACTTAGTACATTTAGTCGGGTATATCTGTACTATTTACTCCACTGCATTTTTCAGCTGTAGTTACAGATTTGTATTTCATATACAACATATAAGAATACCTTACAAATATGAGGCATTGTTTTCAATAAAAATCCAAATTCAACACACTTGCATTAATAATAACGATCCAGCCATAAAATAAAAAATGTGACATTTGGCCACCATAATGAGTATGTTTTACTAAAAACTCTTACATACCTCTAGCTTAGATATATTTAAAGTAGTATTTTTATTTTTTTATATTTCTTACACCTCTATCCAGCAGTCTGGCAAAATCACCTCTTCAAAATAAAGTGCTGAGAATCCCTTTATAAGAACCAACTCTTACTTTGAGCGCAGGTGTCGGGGCCCCGGCTCCTCAGCCTCCGCCCAACTGGCTCTGGCTCCGCCTCCAAGTCCACCAGCTGCCAGCAGCCCCGCCCACGGTTGTCACGTCGATCCAAGCGCAGACGAAGGCGTACACCCTTGCTGAGGACGCCAGGCAGCCAGGCCACTGGACTAGGAGGAGGAGGGGCCAGTTCCAGGTAGGTGTCAGGGTTGAAATCCCGCCTGCCTCGCAGCCTCATGCCCTCGCAGCCCGCCAGGGGAAGGTGAGATACATCACACTGGAGAAAGAGAGAAAACTGTCAAAAACAACAATATGCATCAAACGTGGGAAAGGTCCGTAGGCCGACTGTCAAATGTAAATGTATTCATAGTTCATATTCTATCAATCTGAAATTCTACTAATCACCCTTTGCTCATGAAAATGTGCTTCAATATTCCACTTCTGAGAACCTGTCGTCGATAATTTAATTTCAGACCTTTCAATCCACAACAATGAGAGTTGAAAAGGCAAACAGTAGGCAGCCTGAAGGAAAGATGGAGATGGAAGTGAAGAGTCAGGGGGAGAGAAAATTGCGTTAAAGGAGAAAAAAAGAAACTTGGGGGGGGGGTGATGTGTAATTATACCGGTGTCAAGAGTCCAGAGGTCAAAGAAATAAACTGGTGGCTAATGGGAGAATATTACTTTGATAATGACAAAAGTATTGGGGACAATGTGTCTATTGTGGTGTAAAGTGGATGCAATTTGGCCTCCGGGGTGCTGGATTTACTGATTAACGTTAACTAAGTAAGCTTTCAGTCTCCTCTGTATTGGATGGAACAAAGGCAGGGGAAGAGCAGTAAGAGGAAAGCTGTGAGAGTTTTGAAAGCTGATGGAAACGTTCACATTATTACCCATTACCCTACACTCTGCAAGCAGATCTTATTTTCTTTGGGGGCTGTTAGTCCTGCAGTATTTAAAGCTGGAGAGGATACCCACAGGGCTTTATTTACCACAATCAGGCTAAGCGCATTTAATGTGTGCAACTGTATAGCCTTTCTTGCGTACTTAGAGGTAAGATTTTGGGTTGCCCCATTAGACAACATGACTTCTAAAGCATTCTGTCTCATCACAAAAATGAGGTATATAAAGAGCACAGTATATATATATATATATATATAGTTTAAATGCTAACATCAGCATGCTAACATGCTCACAATGACAATGCTAACATGCTGAAAAGGGCAAAATATTCCAACAGTTTCTTTACCATATCAACAAAGCCCCGACACCAAAAAGCACTCCATCCATTGTAAGTTTAAATTAATAAAAATCAAAAGGAGAAATATGAGAAAAGGACATGCAGTGGAAAACAAAAGAACAGATAAAACGTTCTTCAGGGCTAAACTGTCAGCTTCGATCAGGTCGGAGATGAAAAAACTCTGCCCTCAACCCCAATATTTCATATTTGCCAAATAAAAATCTGAAACATCAAACAGTCATCCTAAAAAACACGAAAGAAGATGGTTCTTCTCACACACACACACACACACACACACACACACACACACACACACACAC